TATACTCAAAAAACTTAAATCAGCATACTACAGTGATACAGCCATATCAATGTTTATAGCAGCTCAATTCACAATAGCTAAACTATGGAACCAATCTAGGTTCCCTAAAACAGATGACTGGATAAAGAAAATGAGGTATATATACACAATAGAATATTACTCAGCCTTAAAGAAGAATGAAATTATGGCATTTGCTGGTAAATGGATGGACCTGGAGAATATCAATGAGAGGGGAAGAGGTGAGTGAAGGTTCCCCTGGATTGGATGGCAGGAGGGGGAAGAGAGAAGTGGGATAGAAATGGGAAAGACAATAGAATGAAATAGACATAACTTTCCTATGTTCATTTATGAATACACGACCAGTGTGATGTCATATCATGTACAACCACAAAAATGGGAAGTTATACTCCATGTATGTATGTTTAAATACATATTACTGTCATGTCTAACTAAAAAGAACAAATAAACATTTTTAAAAAGATGTATGGGTCACAACTATCTATGGGATTAGGAAAGCATGTGTGGAAGACAATGGCTAATATAAGCTTCTTTCAGTCCTTCCCTTAGAGTTTGAAGCAGAATCTTCCTCAGTAATGATTTTCTAATGCCTAATTTATTTGTGGTGCAACCGGGATGGGGAACCAGCGCAGATGGATCAGGGCTTGAACTGAAACATGTTTAAGTTTTATTGCTTTAATGTACAGACAGGAACCAATTACCCTAATCATCTGTGGGAGTTGAAAACTCTTCCTGTAGCCAACAGACTGGGTGCAATGAAGGCAGGAGCCATTTTCCTGACAGCTGGATCCCATCTTCAAGAATATGCCACCTTCAGATGAAGTGGTCCACACCACTCTTCAGCCTGGAAGCACTTTGCTTCTCTATGTGGAGGTGGGTAATGAGTGAGGGTGCTGGTCATGAGATATCCCGTTTCCCCTGGACTGAAGAATTTGTGGACTACATAAGGGGTGGTTTCGAAGGTTCAAAAACATTCATAGTGCAGGGTTGCTGGAAGCATTCTCAGAACCATATCTGATTTTCAGGCCCTGGCTGGCAATCCAGAGCTCTAGGGCTTGGTGGGTTTCCAAGACACTTTCTGACACAGCCAGTAAAGGGCTTTTCTGACGACCTCCAGGCTATCAGAGGGCCCTGGTAGACATTTTGCAGCAGACTAACATCCAGATGAAAGGCACCTCCTATTTTTTTTTCTGCACTCCCTGCTATAAATGGGAAAAAATATGACAAACTTTGGGACTTTTTCCTATTCCCATGGGATACAGTGTTTTAGTATTGATTATTTGCACCCTGCCTCATTCCACAAAGAATATGAGGTGACTTACAGAAATGCACATTACACTAAGGAATGAAAATGCAGAACTGTTATGAGTCAGGCTGATAGGAAAATACAGTTAGTGACATGAAGTTATGAATGATTTTATCACACAAAATGCACACTCTGTGGTCCTACATGTATCCTAGAGTTGGGCCACAAATTTTTACCTGTGGTGAAGGAAGTTCAAGTCCTAAAACACAATCTGATAAACGTAATCCTAGCAAAGCAATAAATGTAAACAGTCCTTGAATCCTTGGTTGGGATGTTAAAAAAATGTTAATCTAAGCATAATTTCCATTTTGTGTATTAATCTTAATATGCTCTTGATTAATACAAAGGAATATTCATAGTATGTAATTTGTTAACATACTGTAGTATAATGAACATCCATGTCATCACTCAGTGGAGGACAGGTGCATGGCCAGTAACTTGTATCCTTCCTTACATGTGCACCTGCCTCCTCCCTCACCCTGCCTTCTTCTCTCACCAGAGAAAACAACTATCCTCAACTGTCTTCCTATTCCTTTGATTTTTGTTTTACTTTATTCCAAATGCATGCATACATAAATTATATTTTGTTCATTTTGCTTATTTTTTTAGGTTTTAAAAAAATAATATACAGATAGAGGTGTTTTGGTATTTTTTTTTGTTTTTCCATTAAACATTTTATTTCTGAGGCTCTTTCATATTTTTTGCACATGTGTGCTCTTTACCATTTTCTACTGCTTCATTATAATCCTTTTTGAATATATACTAACCTGTATCCATCTGTTTTTGACTCTAGATTGCTTCTAATATTGTGCTATTATGAACAATGGTACTGAATCATTCCTGAATATGTTTTCTGGTCACATATTCAAGAATTTCTCTAGGGCATATACCTGGGAATAGAATTATTGGATTTGCTTTATAAGATAGTGCTAAAATATCTTCCAAAGTAATTGTACCAAAATACAACCCCAACAGCAAAGTACAATTTCCTAAGATCCTTATTTGACATTTGACAGTGTTAGACATTAATCTTTTTGAGAATCAGGTGGCAAAAAATATTCAGCCACAGATTTTTTCCTGTGTATTTCAAATTTGAATCCAATCACATACTGAAAATCTTTACATGGTTGATTGTCTCACAGGATAATGAGACTTAACATGTCCAAAATTGGTCTCAACATCTTCCCACCCTGCCTGAATTATTCTGCTTTGTCTTCCATCTCAAAGATATCACCATGAATAATTCATGCATCCCGGACCCAAGTGTGGTTTTATAACTCTAGCCTTTCCTTTATAGACTATAGTCAGTCAATAATCAAGTTCTTTGGATATTAATTTCTAAATATTTATTGAACCCCTTTCCATAACTGCATCACCAATGTTATTTCTATCCTCAATAATCATAGGAAACGCATATTCCTGCAGGTCCTTCCTAGCTGAACTTGTGGTCTCCAAATTTACTTTCCTCCTATTCATACTCTTCACTGGAGCTAAGGCAAAAAGGACATTATGTGGCCAAGTCATTCCCTGGTTTAAAACATTCTAATGGCTTCTATTACTTATCAAGGTCCAAATGCATCATGGCTTACAAGACTCCTCATGACCTGACCCCAGTTCATCTCTTGTTCTTTGTATGTTATCATGGTCTCTGTTCTGTGCCCCAGTTGTACCCAGATATGGTGAAAGCTGAATGACATATACATGTGATGCTTATTATATTTTAACTCAAAACATTAAAGTTTGCATTTATTTAGCAGTGTTTTGAGATAAGGCCAAGTGCTTTACTTGGTGTAAGTTGGTTAGTGTTCAGAGTCATCTTTCTTGCATAAACCATACCAATAAGGGATTATTTATGATTTCCAATTACAGTTTTTTTAAAGTGGATTAAGAATGTAAGGACACTTGTGAAACAATGGGAGTGCATAACTCTTTTACATTTTAAACCTTTTTTCTTCCCAAACTATTAGAGTTTTTTTGATTATACCTAATTTGATGACATTTTTAAAGGACTCTTCATGAAATCTTGTCAAAGCATTCTGCCTGGAAGAAATACAACAACTTTCTTGTTGTAATCATATCTCAGAGTTTATACGACACCTAATTGTATAACCAAACTGACATTTAGACTGGCATTAATAGCTTTGGGAGTAAAAGTTACTGGCCCTTGGTAAGCATACCTGGTGGGAGTAGAGGTACACAGGCTTGCCAACCATGTATGCTCAGGGTGCTGTGGGCATCAATCAATGCGTTTTACACATGAGCTTGTAAGGGAAAGTTAGTTAAAAGAACATCTACTATCCTTGCAGTTTTTTAAATTTTTCTCCCCAGGTGTAGTTTCTTCTGCTTGAGACCTTTTTTCCTAATTGTGTTTATTCCTAATTCATATCTCAGCTCACATGCTGCCCCATCCAATATGCCTTCTGTGACTTCCCAGGACTTGGGTGGAAGGCTTACTGTGCTATCTATCATGTGTTTCTCTTTCTGCTTCTCAACATTTTTGAAGCAGGATGATTCTTTTTTTTTGTTGGGATCTGTTTTATGCTTTATAACATGCTTAGAAACATACCTGGCCTCCTCAAGATGTCAACAGTACCCTCCTCCAGTTATGACAATCAAAAATGACTTCAACATGGGGCATCACAATACCAGACCTTACACTATACTATAGAGAAATAGTAACAAAAATGGCATGGTATTGACACCAAAATAGACATGAAGATCAATGGTACAGAATTGAAGACACAGAGACAAACCCACATAAAGAAAGTTATCTCATACTACACAAAGATGCTAAAAACATACATTGGCGAAAAAATGCCTATTCAACAAATGGTGCTGGGAAAACTGGAAATTCATATGCAGCAAAATGAAATTAAACCCCTATCTCTCACTATGCACAAAACTTAACTCATGGTGGATCAAGGACCTAGGAATCTGCAGAGAATCTGCACTTAATAGACCCAGAGAATCTGCACTTAATAGAGAAAAAAAGCAGGCCCAAATCTTTATCATGTTGGCTTAGATCTGATTTCCTTAACAGGATTCCTAAAGTGCAGAAAGTAAAATCAAGAATCAATAAATGGGATGGATTTAAACTAGAAAGCTTCTTCTCAGAAAAGGAAACAATCATGTGAAGAGAGAGCCTACAGAATGGGAGAAAATCTTTACCACATGTACATCAGATAGAGCACTAACCTCCAGGATATATAAAGAACTAAAAAAACTTAACACCAAAAAAATCAAATAACCTAATCAATAAATGGGTTAAAGAACTGAACACTTTACAGAAAAAGAAACATAATCGATTAGCAAACATATGAAAAAAATTTTCATCATCTCTAGTAATTAGAGAAATGCAAATCAAAACTACTATAAGATTTCATCTCACTCCAGTCAGAATGGCAGCTATTAAAACAGGCAACAATAAATGTTGATGAGGATGTGGGGGAAAAGGCACACTCACACATTGCTGGTGGAACTACATATTGGTACAACCACCATGGAAAGCAGTATGGAGATTCCTTAGAAAACCTGGAATGGAACCACTAATTTGACCCAATTATCCCACTGCTTGGCATATACCCAGAGGACTTAAAATCAGCATACTACAGTGATACAGCCACATCAATGTTTATAAGCAGCTCAATTCCTAATAGCTAAACTATGGAACCATCCTAGGTGCCCTTCAATAGATGAATGGATAAAGAAAATGTGGTATATATACACAATGGAATATTACTCCACTTCAAGAAGAATGAAATTATGGCATTTGCTGGTAAGTGGATGAACCTGGAGAATATCATGGTAAGCGAATAAACCAAACCCCCAAAACCAGAGGACAAATGTTTTCTCTGATAAGCAGATGTTGATCCATAATGGGTGTGAGGGGGTAGGGGATGGTAGTGAAGGAGCTTTGGATTATACAGAGGGGAGTGTGGGGAGGGGAGGGCATGTGGGGAGGGGAAGGACAGTAGAATGAGATGGACATTATTAACCTATGTACATACATGTATGGTGTGACTGCACCATGTACAGCCAGGGGAATGAGAATTTGTGCTCTATTTGTGTATAATGTGTCAAAATGCATTCCAGTGTCATGTATAACTAATTAGAACAAATTTTTTAAAAATGGGATCTCTGGAACTTTATGCTATGTAAAATCAGGTGGAAAAGGGTACATAGTGGCAATTTTATGAAACCATTATTCTAAAAATGAAGAAGAGACAAATGTAACATATAGTCGCATGAAGTTGCTGAATAGGTTGTCTAGGACAAGAGATGAGAATTGAGACTTACAGGGAATGGGCTGAAAGAAACATTTTAGGATGTTCAAAATACTCTACATCTTGATTATGATCGCATACGTATACCTTTTCCAAAATTGAGCTTAAATAGTTGCATTTAGAGTTCAAATAGTTGTGCTTTATTTATGTATATTGCATTTTAAGGTTAATTTCAAAATAAAATTTAAAAACTAAACAAAACAAATGTCTTCAATTATTATCAGTATCCCCTGAGGAGACCAAATTGCCCTGACTGAGAACCACTGCTCTAGATTATAAATGTTTGTTAGGTGACTAAATGACCACTAAGTTTTGGGAATGACACAGGACAGAACAATGAAGCAGCACATGTATTCAGGAAAGTAATGGGGCATGCAAGTTCAGACCATGTCACCATCCTATGAAATACATTTAAGTACATTTTTATTTGGAGCAGTACTGTCAGCTTAGGAAGATATTTCATGGCCTATGGAAGATTGCTAGTAATATTTTATATGTTTTAATTTATTCTTTAGCCTGCTACAAGTCTGTCTCCCCTTCATCCCACTTTGCCATCTGCCAAACTCTTAGGCTCTGAGAATGAGAAATTCACTCTGTTGGCCAACTGATATCTACCAATACATCACCAGGTAAATTTAATCTCCACATTCCTCAAGGATTTTTTTTGTGTGTGTGTGTGTGTGTGTGTGTGTGTGTGTGTGTGTGTGTGAGAGAGAGAGAGAGAGAGAGAGAGAGAGAGAGAGAAACAAATTTTTGTAAGGGGGTGCAGGCTGTGGAGTAAGGAGGGATGTGTTTGAAGTACAGATAGCTTAGCATCTGATCCTACTCAACAGTCTCTCTTCACCCCATGAAACTCACCAAACTTCTAGATGGCAACCACCTTCCATATGCCCTTGCCACTGTCCCACTGCTTATGGGGACTTTACTCATTTGTTTAATAAATATTTTGAGCACCTAATGTATGCCAGATGCTGCATTAAATGATGGCCATGACACATATGTTTATACAATTTGCCTAAAAATAGGTATTCTATATAGGAACATTGGCCCTAATTGGGCAACATGCTGGTCAGAATCCCCTTTATGGCTCCCTAAATGTAAGGGAACATTGGGAGGTGATTCAGAAGACAAAGAAGGAGTTAAAAGGTCAACTGTCTTGCTTGAGGAATTACTAAGAATACTCATGGGTGCTCTCTCTCTTCTTCCACTAGGAGAAACATCATGAGTTACAGATCTCATCTAGAAAAAGAGGTCTCTTACAGGTATCAAGAGCTTTGCTCCTCAAGTCCACGTAGCATAGACAGGAAATACCAGGCAGCGGCGGAAACAGGTGAGACATCACAGAGCACTTTCTGATATACCTACTGTCTCCACCCAGGGACCCGCTGGCTGCCTTGCTATTTTTGTGTGCTGGTACCTTGGCCTAAGGAATTCTCATGATGAAATTCCTATCCAATGAAACTCTGCCTGGGGGAAAAACAGACTTTCATGAACAATCCCTGGAGTAACTGTTGTGGTTCGTGTTTTTTTCTCAGAGCTGTTGGAAATAGCAGGCTGGATGACTAACCTAGGAAGGGTACGTTAGCTCTCCGTTAGCTGATCGCCTGCAGAGGAGCAGAGAGGAATTCCTGCTGGACTCCCCGCTCTGGTCCACCCTGGCTTCGTTTTCCATCTCTGGATCCTTCCAGCCATGCAAACATACACAACATCACCATGGAGACTCAGACAGACACAGGCATGAGAGGAAAGCACGAGGCAAATCTCTCCTCTGATGCTTTGTTAGGAGGGGAAGGACAATTTTAACAGCTTTGGAAATCACCCTGTTTCATTCCCTGATCCTCAAGAGCAGTTACCTCACTCAAAAACATAGTATTGTTCTACCTTTGCTTCTGCTCTGCTGGCCACAGCGAACTAAAGCTACAGAAGATCTGACAAAGAAGACACTCCAGGATGAGCCCAGTCTTGTACCCCCAAACCCACCCTTAAAATGGTTTGCCAGTTGTTAGGTGGGGAAGTACATCAACAGACGATCTTGGCTGTCCACACTGGATTAATAAACTCTGTTTTTGCTTTGTGAGTTTCTGATGCTGGTTTTACCTGTGTATTCCTACCTTAGTTCAGCTGCCATCTCACACTGGGGTCATAGAGACAGAATCCCTAAAGTTTCTTCTCTCCACCCTCCTCACTGAGATAGACTAATTTTTCCAGAGTTGTTCTTGAGGAATCTGGTCATGGCCATGTCACACTGGATTCTGGATCACTTCCAGCCTTTTTCTTGCTCCTGGGTGGAAGCAAGTTTAAATGAATAAGGAGCAGGCACAGAAAGAACAAACAGCTGCTGTCTGAAGAAATGTGTAGCCAAAGAGAAACGATGGTAGAGATGGTGGTGGATGTGAAAGGCTGATGGGAGGTCCTTCATTTATCAGCTTCGCCATACAGCAGGGAGTGTCCTGAATGTTGATTGTGATCACCTGATGCCAAGAAAGCATTTGAGGCTGTACTTTGGGTCGATAATACAGACTGTGGGTGGACAATTAATTACCAATGCCAACATTTAATTCAGCAGAAGCCCTGTTTGGAGGAACAGTGCATCTGAATGAGTGAACTTTCATCATGTCACCTTGTGTTTAGAAGGAGGACCTCATTGTCGTCATCAAGCCCAAAGCTCCCCGCTCCCTCCTGGAAATCGAATCCAGGGCCTGGGCAAGCTAGAAGCTAGGGGAATGCGATGTTACAGAGCTACACCTCCAGCTTCAAGCTTCAAGTTCTCTGTCTGGCTTGTTTTTGGATTTACTTGGACCTGGATCAGATTAACTTAAGATCTGACTTCTCAGTACACCCTTTCTATGCAGCTCTGCATAGCAACTTTCTAGTCCTTGAGGGTAGCATACAACTTTCTGCTTCCATGTCTTCAAGGTCTTTTCCTCTTCCTCCTGCTTCCTGAAATTACTTGCTGTAAAGTTCAGGACCATCTCTTCTGAAAGCCCTGCAGACAGTTTTGCCCTCTGTGGTCTCTCTTCTTCCTTTGTTTAGCACTTTTCTCTGTACTTTGTACATTGCAGATTGGCACATGAGTCTTCTCTCCTAGCTTCCTGTTAGATTTATCCTGGGCATAGGTGGAGCTCTGGGACAGAGACTGTGTTCTGCCCTGACTGCATCACTGTAGACAGGAGCAGACCCCTGAGAAGACCTAAAAGTCAGCTTTCTTCTGCAATCTCGTAGTGTAGCACACTCTTAGTTGCTTGTACTATAGGTTATGCTTTTTATATCATATCTAAGGAATTGTCTAATTCATGGTCACAGATTTACTCTTATATTTTCTCCTGGAAGTAGCATTTAGTTTTTAGCCTCTGAATTACTTAAAGTTTTTATAAGGTGTGAGGTAAGGATCAAGATTCAATTTTCCTTTTTTTTTTTTTTTTTGCATAGGGATAATCAATTATTCTAGCACCATATTTTGAAATAACTCAGAATTTGGACTAGTGTTAAAGACCTTTATGGATTTGCTATAGGAGGATTCAGAATCACTTGTAGTACGTGTAAACTTTTGTATATATTTGCACTTGTGACTTGGGAATGGAAGGGTGGAACAGGAGACGACCCACAAGTTTTCACCAGATTATGGAAGGGACCCTGTCTCCCAAGAAGGTCAAGTGTCACAATTCTATTGTAACAAAACCATCTTCCTTACCTCTCAGAAGAGGAATAAACGATATCAAAGACTACCTGTGAGTGGCTTTGGATTTCCTGGGAAGAAAATGTTATGATCCTTTGGGAATAGGCCTGTACAAACACATGCAAATTATTCTTAATCATGGTATGAAAGCCAAGGCAGTAAACCCTTGTTAAATCGGCTACTAGCCATCTTTAACATAGCACATAATTCAAAGCAACTGTTTGGTTGTTTTAAAATTCATTCTTTTGGGTCACTGTTTTAAACAGATGAATCTTACTGAACAAGAGTTTAAACCCTAAGTGGAAAATGAAACTTCAAAGTTTTGTTTGACTATGACTGAAACTGGTCTTGTACATTGAGAATCTTGAAAGTCCTAAATGTCAATTAGCTGTAATCACCAGAGATCATCAGCCCCCTCATCTATCTGGAATGATCACAAGGCTCTGAAAGTAATCAGCTGCTCACCTCCCAGAGCTGCAGAGTGTCCATCTCCCTGGAGTAAGAGAAGCAGCAACTTCTTGCTTACTGGAGTGAGGAAATGAAGTGACTTCCTGATGGGAGAGACAGCTAGACTCCCATTGGCTATTCTTTTGTTACAGCAGTATCTGGCCCCGCATTTTCCAGGCCACCCATTGGCTGACCCTTCCATGTTTCCATTTCCTGTGAGTCTTCCCCTATGGCTCACACCAAGCCCACAAGGCTCTCTTAGTCATAGGCATCACAGACCAAAAGGCTGGAAGGAATCCTGGACATTAACTGGTCTGATTTCTTCTAATTTTCAGAGGAGAAAATTGAAGTCCATCCAAGGAAGGGCACTTGCCCAAGGTCACATAGTTAGAAATAGAACTGGAATTAGAAAGTGGGTTATCCTGCCGGCAAGGCCAATATTCTTTCTATTATATACCCAAGATTTTTAAAAATGGAAAAAACAAGAATTTAAGAGATAGTCAGACCTGGTTTTCAATTCTGACTTCTTGCTTTCCACTTATGTAACATTGAGAAATTACTTAATCTTTCTAAGCTTAAATTTTCACATTAGAAAACAGATAAATAGTCATCAGATATTGATGGACTGGCACATGCTGTTTTTGGCCTTGGTACACAATTGGGAATGAGACAAGCCAACTCCCTTGGCCCAAGACATAGAATTTACATCCAAATGTGTGTTAAGTTCAATGCAAGGATTTCTTTTAGAATTTTCAATATTTTTTGATATTGTGTTTTTATTTATTTAAATATTTTTTATTTGTTCTTTTTAGTTACTTGACAGTAGAATATATTTTGACATATCATACATACATGAATTGTAACTTCCCATTTTTGTGGTTATACATAATGTAGAGTTATAATGGTCATGTATATGAACATAGGGAAGTTATGTCTGATTCATTCTACTGTCTTTCCCATTCCTTTACCCCCTTTTTCCCCCTCCCCACTCTCCCTTGTCCAATCCAATAAACCTCTACTCCTCTGCCACCCCCACCTATTTTGAGTCAGCATTGTGAGAGAACATTCGGCCTTTGAATTTTGGGGGATTGGCTTATTTCATTTGGCATAACAGTCTCCAGTTCTATCCATTTACTGGCAAATGCCATCATTTCATTCTTCTTTAAGGTTGAGTAATATTCCACTATGTATATGTACCACATTTTCTTTATCCAAATTCATCTGTTGAAGGTGCCGAGGTTGGTTCCATAGCTTAGTTATTGTGAATTGAGCTGCTATGAACACTGAGGTGGCTGTATCACTGTAATATGGTGATTTTAGATTCTTTGGGTATACACCAAAGAGTAAAATAACTGGGTCAAATGGTTGTCCCATTCCAAGTTTTCTGAGGAATCTCCATACTACTTTCCAGATTGGTTACATCAATTTGTAGTCCCACCAGTAATGTATAAGTGTACTTTCCCCCCACGTCCTCACCAACACTTATTGTTGCTTGTATTCTTGATAATTGCCATTCTGACTCGAGTGAGATAAAAATCTCAGTGTAGTTCTGATTTGCATTTCTCTAATTGCTAGTGATGTTGGATAATTTACATGAGATGATAAGTGTGAATGTCAGCACGTTTCCTGGCAGAGTAGACATTTAATAGATGGTATCAGCAATTATAATTAGTACTATAAGCTCCAAATGTCACAGGCTCTTAGAAGAAGACCAACTGCCAGGATAGCATGCCCTTGTCCATTTCCAACCAGTACTCTGGATATATGGTCTCCAGGAAGCCTCTGACAATCATTTTAGTGCCCAAAGTCCTGCCCTAACTTACCTTTAAACTTTCAAGAAGAATCCTTGCTCTGAACTCCTCTGACAGCTTATGCACCCATAGAAATGCTACCCCTGGTTTTTCAGCTGGGAGCACTCCTGAAGGCCCACAGTGTGGTCCTGCTGGTGGCCTTCTGTCAGTCTCCTGTGTCGAACAGCTGGGATTTCCCAAAGGCTCACTGGCCTTTTTTTGTGCTTTTCTGGCTTCTGAGCTGCAGCCATAGGGATTCCAGCTCCGGCCTATCATTTGGTTCCTTGACTGTTCATGTGGGGATCATGGCTTTGCTCTGTCTTGCTTAGCCCTGATGTCCTCCCTGGCCTCCCTTGAGCTTCCAATGATGCAATTCCTGCCAACACTCCAGCAAAAGCCTCTGGAGCACAGAGTGCAGTCATCCCCACTTCACCACATCTCAGCCATTCTGAAATAACAGAATTTACAGGGGAGAGAAAATCCCTTGACTTTAAGGGCTTGTCAACACTACTCACCCTTCCCTTATGGATGGGGTACGAAGACTGTGACTTGGGATAGCAAGTATCAAGGAAGTTAGTTAGGAAGGAAAGGAAATGGGAATCAGAAAGACTTATGCACATATAGCAGTGTTCTGAAATCATGTCTTTCCTTCCATCATCAAATCTCAACAGTGTTCTTGTGAATTTTTCCTGATATATGGGAGTATTGGATCCCCATTCAACCCCCAAGTTCTCCGAGCCAGAAGAGAAAGTTAGTGTTGTAAAATGAGCAATATAAACATCACAGACTCTGTTTCTGCATATAAGCCTATTTATGAAATGTCTATCTTCCTTGCCTTCTTTTTAATATAAAGAGATTTGAAAATGACAGAGTATTAGGTAATAATATTCAACAATTATAGGACACTCAAAGGTATAGTTCTAAGTAGTTCACATACATCAACTTATTTAAAGCTCAGAGTAACTCTATGAGGTAGGTACTATTGTAATTCACTTTATTAACAGATGAAGAAACCAAAGTACCAAGAGGTTAAGTAATTGGTATAAGGATACCCAGTCAGGAAATACCTGACTGCTGGGCCATCAAGACCCATTTTCTATTCAGTAAGCCACTCAGGAGAAATGTCTTTTTATCTTATCCTAGACAAGAGCAATAATTTAACACAAGTGTGCATTCCAGCCACATTTTGTTGTCAGAAACTGTTACTAGGGGCAGCAATGGAATGCAAAGCATGGTGATATGTGCCAGGCTGTGATTTTTCTCCCTGTTGTATCAGAGCAGGAGAGGCACCTCCTTCCTTTCTTAACTTTTGAAGTTAGGCTACGTCTTCCTGTCTCTTATGACAGCCTCTATCCAGCTAGTGTAGGAGGGAATCCCAGTTTCAAAAAAACTTAGTCTCCGGAAGATTTCTAAATCAATGCATACTTATAATGAAAAGTGATTATTCTGATCAGTAAACTTGGGATCAGGAACTGGGTAAGTGCAGCTCAGTCCTTCCCGTCTCCTCATGCTCTTACCATCTGCCTTGCAGAACTCATGTTCTGCTTTGCTTCTGTAGCATTTTAGAGGGTACTTCTGTCCCTGCTGATGAGGCTTATCTAGTATAGGATTGCCATAGTGATGTGATTAAGTCTGTTGAATTTCAAAGTTTACTGTTAGGAAGACTAATGTTGTTCCACATCTAAGCCTTATTTCCAACAGCTATACCCATAATAAAGTTGGAATTTTAATCTTCCCTTCTCAGTTGATTCAACACAGAGACCAGGAAAAAGAGAAGTATTATGCCCATTCCCCAGCTGTTTTCTTTCCTATCACTGCAATTGGCCAAATTGATCATGAGATATGGTACAAAACCATGTATGTACAAATATAAGTAGTTGAAACCTGTAAATCACATCTAATGTGAATGCCTTATTATAACTAATATTATGTCTTATTTTCTTCCCCCAAAAGACACAGCAGCATATCAGTATGTTATAAAATATCACCTACAAAAAAATCAACTAAATCCCATAGAAAGCAGTAATGGAAAAAAATTAAGAACAGAAAACCAATAGCAAAATTACAAAAGTAAGTTCTTTTTTTCAGCAATTACTTTAAATGTAAATTTATTAAAACATTTATTTAGTAGATAAAATGTAAATGGATTAAAATATAAATTAGTAGAATGGATAAAAATGCCAATTATATGCTACCTACTGGAGACTCACTTTAGATTTAAGGATACACATAGGTCAAAAGTGAAATGATGTGAAAAAGATATTTCATGCCAAAAGTCACCAAAAGGGAGTTGGGATAGCTATATCAATATCAGAAAAAAATGACTTTAAGGAAAAAAAATGTACCAAGATATAGAGAAAAACATTATATATTGAAAAAAGTATCAATTTGTCAAAACATAGCAATTGTAAGAAGTTATGCACCAAACATCAGAGCTCCAAAATATTTGAAGCAAACATTGATAAAACTGAAGATATAGATGGATAGTCTACAACAATAGGTAGAGACTCCAATATTCTGCTTTCAATGAGGGCTAGAACAACCAGGCAAAAGATCATTGAGGAAGCAAAGGACTTCAGCATCGCTCTAAACCATTTAGATGTAAGAGACATGTATGAAGCATACCACCCAACAACAGCAAAACACACATTTTTTTTTCTCAAGTGTATGTGAAACATTGTCATGTTCTATATTTATGTACTTAGTCCTAAGATAGGATAGATCATACGTTAGGCAACCAAGCAAGTCTTAATAAATTTTAAAAGATTTAAATCATATAAAGTATCTTTTTGATTATAATAGAAACTGGAAA